CATATAGAGAAAATCTAACTCTCATACACTGCTGGTGGCAGTACAAGAAAATGCACAGCCACTGGAAAATGGTTTGATTGTTTCTTTACAACCTAAATGTAAATATACTATACAGCTCAGTAATCTCACTCCTGAGTATTTGCCCAAGTGAAATGAAACTTAGGTTCAGAGAAAAAAGCTATATTAGAATGTTTATAGATGCTTTATTTGTAATTACCCCAAACTGGAAGCAACTAAAATGTTCTTCAACTAGTGAATGACTAAAAACAAAACAAAAATTTTGATTCAACCATTAAAATGGAATACTACTCAGCAAAAAAAAAAAGGAAAAACAAAGTACAGATAAAATGGAGAAGTCTGTAATGCATTATGCTTAGTAAAAGAAACCAGACTCAAAAGGCTAAATACTATGTAATTTATTTATATGACATTCTCAAAAAGCAAAACTATAGTAAAGAATTCAAATCAATGGGTATGAAAGACTGGGAGAATGAGGCCTAGGGGATTGACCACTATATTATCCACTTCTTTGTAACACATTAGTGGCTTAGCTCACAGTCTCTGTGGGTCTGGAATCTGGGCACAGTTTATTAGTTGAGTGCTTCTGGCTCAAGGTCTTTCACGAGGTTGTAGTTAAGCAGTTAAACTGTCTGCTAGCTGCAATGTTACATGAAGGATCAGCTGGGGGAAGATCTGCTTCCAAATTTACTTACATGGTCGTTGGCAGGATTCAATTCCTTGTGGAGTTTGAGCTGAGGTGCTTAGTTCCTCACTGGTTAGCTTGGGGCCTCTCCTGATTCCCTACCATATGTGCTTTTCAAAAAGGCAATTCACAACATGGTGACTGACTTTCCTTAGAGAATTTGAGAATATAAGAGCACTCGAGACGTAAGCCTCTGTCTTTTTACAACCTAATATCACAATTGACATCCCATCACCTTTGCCAAAATTATATTCATTAGAAGGGAATTATTAAATCCAGCCCACACTCAATGGGAGGGATTATACAAGGGATGAACATCCACAAGGGCAAGGATCACTGGGGGCTCTCTGAGAGGCTACCTCCCATAGACAGCCTTCTAGATCCCAGTGATTCATTTTTTTCCTGAATTCAAAACACCCTCACCTTCCCCAAGGTCCCAAGAGTTTCATCCCATTACGTTATCAGTTCACAGTTGAGAATATCATCATCTGATCAGGGAGCCATGTTCGAGTTTACTTACCACAAGCACAAAGTGCAATGAGGAATTTTTTGGGTTGGTCAGAACTGTCCTGTATCTTGATTTCGATTACACAGCTGTATTTGCTTGGTAAAAACTCATATTACCGAGTACTAAAAGGGATGGATATCACCATATGGAAGCTATACTTCAATTAAAAAAAATGTTAACAAACTCAAGAATATAACATACACATAAACACACATATTGCATTAGCTTTTGGCCAAATCAAATGATTGGTCAATGTATTAATAAAATATATTTATACAAGTCTATATTTTAATACTGGAAAGTAACATAATGTTTCTAGCTATATTATTGAAAAGCCATAACAACATCCTGTATGCTTGTATAATCAGTAATTCGCTAATAGGAAAAGAAAATTGTTATGGACTATAACTTATAATTACGTTAGTTCATTGATAGAAAGAAGTTTATTCTTAAAATATCATCTTTCCTCTTTAATATTTGTTTTTATTCCTTAGAACAGATAATTCATCAATTCACATATTAGTGAAAATGAACATATTTGAAAGTGTACTATTAATCTGTTATTTTGCTTATAAAAGAACTACTGAAATAATTTTCTATAAAACGCATTTTTATAACCACTTTCTAAATGATTTACTTCAAGTAAGGTGCATATAAACTGTGGGAAAAAATCTTATATTTTGTTCTTGTTTTTCCTAGTTCTGAAAAGAGACAGAGGTAAGGCAGTAGGATCCAGTTACTGTACCCTGTTTATACAGCTGTACTTCATTGAACGAAGTCTTGTGTTACACACAGTTTGTGATAGGAAGTAAATGCTTTTAAAACAACCAAAGAGATAGGTCTTTAACCTCCACCTTTGTGGATTCTTTGTTCCACCATTTAGCTTCTGTGGAAGTTATAGGAAATAGTTTAAATATATCCTATTACTCTCTAATTGGGCCTCATCTGATTAGCTCATCCCCTTCTGAATTCATAACATGCATGCATTATGATGAGTTTTTAAAGTAAATCCCAACAAGTCCAACAAAATGGACAATGATTTTTTTGTAACAAAGTTTTTAAGTAATAGGTTCCAAAATGTTTAATAATGGTTATGTTCTAAAGAGAAAATGGATTATTTTAGAGCCTAACTCTACAAGGAGTTTTAAAAGGCTTAGTAGATTCATCAAGTTTATTACCTCTCAATAATCTTTTACACAACATTTGAAGATACCAAGTGCCACAGGATTCTTTGTAAATTTCTTATTTGAAGTGTATAACTAGCCAATAAGCAAGAGATTAAGATTCTAGGTTATTTCAAGGATTATGCTTGGGAAGTTTGGTGTCATTATGATGATATAGTTTTCATTTGCATAAGAGCAATTTCCTTAATTGGTTGGATAGACATACAGGGTAATTACTAGGAATGATTAAAATGTCAACCAATCAGGGGTGCCTGGGTGGCTCAGTCACTTAAACATCAGGGTCTTGACTTAGGCTCAGGTCAAAATTTTAGGATTCATGGATTTGAGGCCTGCATTGGGCTCTGCACTAACATCACGGAGTTTGTTTGGGATTCTCTCTCTCTCTCTCTCTCTCTCTCTCT